TATATCCAGAAGACCAAAAATCACACTATAACAAAGATATAAGTACCAGAATGTTTATTTCAGCCCAATTCATAACTGCTAAGTCATGGAAGAAGCCCAAGTGCCCATTGACCCCCAAATGGATTAATAAATTGTGGTGTATGTACACCATGGAATATTATGCAGTCTTAAAAAAACTGGAGACTTTACCTCTTTCATGTTTACATGGATGGAACTGGAACATATTCTTCTTAGCAAAGTATCTCAAAAATGGAAGAAAAAAGTATCCAATGTACTCAGCCCTATTATGAAACCAATTTATAGCTTATCAAAGCTATAACCCAATTATAGCCCAAGAATATGGGGAAAGGGTAGAGGAAGGGGAGGCAAGGGGGGAGGATGGGTAGAGGGAGGGTGATTGGTAGGACCACACCTACAGTGCATCTTACAAGGGTACATGTGAAATTTACTAAATGTAGAATATAAATGTCTTAACACAATAACTAAGAAAATGCCGTGAAGGCTACGTTAACCAGTTTGATGAAAATATTTCAAATTGTATATAAAACCAGCACATTTTACCCCATGATTGCATTAATGTACACAGCCATGATTTGATAAAACAAATAAATACAATAAAATAAAAAATCAGATAATAGACAAATAATAAACCAGGGAAAATGTTTGCCACAAATGACAGGAAAGATCAGTGTGCTTAATATGTAAAGAGCACTTACAAATCAATAAGAACAATACTTTTCTAGAAAATGAGCATAAGACACAAGGAGACAATAAAGAAGAAATTAAAACAGCCAATTGGCTTGAAGAAAAATTCCAGACTCTTAAGTGATAAAATAATCTAATGTGAGACAATAATAAATATCATTTTTGATTATAAAGATGGTAGGAATCTTTTAAATTATTAAGGCCCAGTATTGACAAGAGTATGGATAAAGGGGAACATTCATACACAGCTGGCAGAGTAAAATTCTGCAATCTACATCGACCACAACACTATGAAATGTATTAGAACCTGTGCATTTTTCCTTGGGGGAAAAATCCCTCCATTTCTAGGATCCCTATGGGGAAAAATTATAGATCTGTACAAAGATATATCTATAAGAATCTTCACTATTGGCTCGGTGCCTATAGCTCAAGCCTCTAGGACAGCAGCCACATACACCAGAGCTGGCAGGTTTGAATCCAGCCCAGGCCTGCCAAACAACAGTGACAACAACAACCAAAAATAGCCAGGCATTGTGGCAGGCTCCTGTAATCCCAGCTACTTGGGAGACTGAGTCAAGAGAATCACTTAGTCCCAAGGGTTGGTGGTTGCTGTGAGCTGTGAGGCCACAGCACTCTACCCAGGGTGACAGCTTGAGACTTTGTCTAAAAAAAAAAGAAAGAAAAGTCTTCACTATTAATCTGTTCTTAAGGTTAAAAATTCAATACACATAACCTGAATTTAGAACTTTACTAACCTATAAAAATGTTTATCATGTGATAAGTAGTTATAAGAGGATACACATAAGATATGAACCCATTTTTTTTAATGTATTCCTCTGAAAAAGATAGTGTTAACAGTAGTTCTCTAAGTGGAAGGATTTTATATCCTTTTTTATAAATTTCTGTATTCTCCAAATTTCTTTCCTTCTTTTTTTTCTTTTTTTTTTTTTTTGAGACAGAGTCTTACTCTGTCACTCTGGCTAGTGTCCCATGGCCTCAGCCTAGCTCACAATAACCTCAAACTCCTGAGCTTAAGCCATCCTCCCACATCAGCCTCCCAGAGTGCTAGGATTATAGGCATGAGCCACCATGCCCAATCTGTATTTTCCAAATTTCTAAACTGTATTAATTGCATGATTTGAAAACCTTAGATCTCATTCTTCCCATTCTACAGATAAGGAAACCAAGACCCAGACAGAGTGGGTGAAGCTAACAATTGGCAAAGCCAATTCTCAAATCCAGATCTCCCAGCCTCAAACTGGGGACCCAACCCATACTGTCTGCATGCCCTTGGATGCAACTCTCAGCTCAGGTTCAGTATGGAAAAGAGGCCTGCAACAGCTCACTCACCTCCCAGAATCACCGACTTCCTGCATGTCTCCTCACTCAAGTATGACTTGACCAGGGCAAAGGCCCCAAAAATACCTTGGGGGCTGAAAAATGCACAGAGCTACACCCTTGGGCCCCTGGCAGTGAGTGGAGTCCTGCGGTCTCAGGTACCGACTTTGTCACCTCTACATCTCCTGCCCCTGGCTCATGCAAACACCTCTCACAACAATCAAATTCTTCAAAATCTCAGGGCATTTGGACTCAAATGCTGAGAGAAACTATGGTACCAAATTCATAAACAATAAGCATTTAAATACTTTCCCCCGCACTCCCTCCCACCCCAGCCCCAGGGCCCCCCAATTGTGAAGACTTAGCCTCTGTTGCCAGCCATCCAAGGCTGTGACACAGGAAGCTACCCAATGACCAATGACAGACACCAAAACCCCACCCAGATACAGAGCAGAAGCCAACACTTCCCTGTTTGTTGGGTCCTAGTCCCAGACCCCACCCCCTTGAGGCAACTAGTACAGATTCTTGACAGTGGGTGAGGGATGACACCACCTTATTGCAAGAAAAATCCCATTCAGGGCTCTGAAAGGTTCCCTCCCATGTGGCTTAGATGATAATTCAACTTCAGGGCTGAGACAGACTTTGTTTTAGCATAATATTCAAAGATACAAGGAATGGCTTTTTGCAGTCACAAGGTTATGCAGTTATCATGACTACCTAGTTCCAGAACATTCCCATCATCCCAAAAGAAAATCTTTTTTTATTTTTTTTTTTCTTTTTTTGAGACAGAGTCTATGTCACTCAGTAGTTAGAGCTCACAGCAATCTCAAAGTCTTGGGCTCAAGCGATTCTCTTGCCTCAACCTCCCAGGTAGCTACAACAGGCACCTGCCATAATGCCCGGCTATTTTTTTACCTGCAGTTGTCATTGTTGTTTGGCAGGCTGGAGCTGGGCTGGAACCTACCAACCTCGGTGTATGTGGCTGGCGCTGTAACCACTGTGTTATGGGCGCTGAGCCCCCAGAAGAAATCTTGTACTAAAAAGCATTAACCCACCACCACCACCATTCCCACTCCCCTCAGCCTTGAGTAATTCCTAATTGACTTTTTGTCTCTGTGAATTTGCTTATTCTAGAGATATCGTATCAATGAAATCATACCCTATATGGCCTTTTGTGTCTGGCTTCTTTAATTTAGTATGTTTTTGTGTGCTTTTTCTTTAAAAATTCTAGTAATAATATTAATATAGCCACTCAAATGTTTTATTTTTAGGTTCTTTGCTATTTGGGGTGGAGCAGACAGAAAAGAAAAGGTAGGCTGACTGTCCTGGGTCCCAGGCCTCCCCACAACCTCCCCAGAGCCCCCCATCCCTGAAGAAATAGCAAATGGGTGGTCATGGCCTTGCACCATCAGGGCAAGCAGAAATTGGAGTGGGGACAGGGAACAGTGGGCTGTCCCCAGGCCACTGGGATGAGAAGGCAGGCAGGCCTGGGGATAGGCCTTATTGTGACCTGTTGGACATGAAATGGTGACACTAGGGTGCCATGCCCAACTTGACATCCCCTGAGAGGCTGTGGGCTTGAAAACATCCCTGCAAATGACAAGTAAGGAGCTGTGACAGGTCCTCCCAGCTGGGTATTAACCTAGCAGTGAGGAAAGAGAAGGATGCCCCAAACCCCCACAACAAGTAGAGGGGCAGAGCCCCACTTGCATGCCTAGGGCCCTGGTGGGGTTATCTCACTTCCTGGGCAAACTCCACTCCTGGCTTCCATAGATGTCTCAGGCCCAGTCCTTGAAGATCAAAAATCACTATGATTTTCTAAACCTTCTTCTCCAGCTGCAAGAGAATGTCAGGAGGTAAAACCCTGTGAGGATCAATATCTTCATCTCCCACCCAAGTGGGGCTGGGCCTAAGCCCAGGGCACTGGCCTGGCTTGTCTCAGCTCTGCCTGGCATGGAGGTTTTGGACCAGGGCAGGGAGGGGACCATCCCAAGAGATGCCAGGATTGGAATGACCCAAAGCCTGCCCTACCCAAGTCAAATTACCAACCCCGCAGTTGCCTCCTCTGGCCAGTGGTGCTGATGTACCTGTCCCCATCATCATATGAGGCTACAGAGAGTAGTGCATCTTAGTGCATTGAGTATGGGCTCTCTGAGCTTGCATTCATTGTCCAGTACTGGGAGGAGACAGGAGCTCAGGAAGGTGGGTTTGAGTTTGATTGGAAGGCAGGGAACACAGAAGCCACAGAACAGCCTTGGAGGGCACATGGCTGTGGCTGCCCAAGGCGGTGGCTAGGAGGGGTCCCAGCACCCACACCTTCTGACTCTGCAGCTCACACTTCTGCAGAAGCAGCTCACAGCTCTGGAACTTGTTCCCGAGCTTCCCCTGTCTGGGGGGCCCAGAGGAAGAGGCCCCTGGGCCTCCTATGATGTGGTACCAGACAGGGCTGCCTTTGTGGCTGTGGCTGCAGATGCTGCTGGCATTGTACAGCCTGACCACCTGGACACACAGGAGAACAGAGTTCAGTGCTAGGGCTGAGGGGTTGGAGACAAGGCGTGGACGTGGGTCTCAAGGAGTCTTACCTCTGGGGGCTGTCATGAAAGTGTGTCATCCAGGTTCTGTTGCTTCCAGAACTCCACGTGCTACAGGGACACAGAAGCACCTGAAGATTCTGCCTGTCCAAAAGCCTCTTCAGAGACTTGGGGATGCCAGGCCAGGTCCCTCTGCCTGCAGGTCGCTCAGTCTGCAAGTCCCTCTACCCACAACCACTGAGGGCCTGCCAGAGCATCCCTGGGTTCCACGACCTTAAACTGGGACAGGATAGGAACACAGGTCTGAGAGGCATGACACAGAAAGAGACAGGTGAGGCCCTGAACTCTGCAGCTGCCTCTCCCTGCATTCTTTTGTCTGCTCCCCTTGCTCCTTCCTGACATGGCCCCCTGGAAGTTAGACTCTGCTCCCCAGATGAAAGTTGCCCTTAGACCAAAAACTACATTCTCTATGAGGCTTGAGAGGCTCAGATGATGAGCCTAGGCAGACTTGTGGCTCCCCCTTCTCTCTATAGCACAACCTCCATATGCTCCTGGAATATGCTTGGCCATTACACAGGTTGTGCCCTCTGCCCTGATCTTCATTCACATGCCTGCCTCCTTTTGGGCATTCATGTCCCAGCTGAAATGTCCTTGATTTCCTTCACTTCCATCCCTCTTTTACTATCTTCATTGTACTTTCCATTCTCAGGAATGGTCTTGTTCATTCATTTCTCTGGTTTCTTTTTTCTCTCTTCCCACCACTGCATTCTCCCCAGTGCCTAGCACAGGGCCAGGCTCCCCTTGGGGCTCACTAAAGGGGTGTTTGAGTGAATGAATGAATCAATCAGTGAATTCATACGCCAAATTTGGGACAGGAAACTGCCAGACTAGGCCAGCGAAGTGCTGCCCTCACCTTTTACAGCATGTCTTCTCATTTCTGCAGTCCAAAGCTCTGGCTGAAACAAGGAGATAGGGATGTGGGTGTGGACCAGCTTGCTCCCAGCATCTGGAAAGTGTGGCCCTGCCTCACCCTCCAGGCCAGCTGTGCCTCCTTTTACTCAGAGGGCCCTATTCTCAACATGGGGAGCCACAATGGGGCTCAGTAAGAGCCAAGATACCCAGAGACTTAGAAAGACAAGCAGAGGTTACCAATTCCCTGGGAAAATGGTGGGAGCATGCCTGCTGATGCCAGTGAGGCCGGTGCAGTGGCTCATGCCTGTAATTCTACCACTCTGGAAGGCCAAGAGGGGAGGATGGCTTGAGCTCAGGAGTTCCAGACCAGCAAAATCAAGACTCTATCTCTACTAAAAATAGAAACATTAATTAGGCATGATGTTTTGTGCCTGTAGTCCTAGCTGTTGTGGAGACTGAGGCAGGAGGATCCCTTGAGCCCAGGAATCTGAGGTGGTTGTGAGCTATGTATGAGGCCATGGCACAAAGTGAGAAAGAAAAAAAAAAGAGTTAAGTTACCAACACACCACCTTGGAAATCACTGCACAAGTAATAGTGAACTATTGTTGAAAACAACACTAAAAATGACTAAATGGGAAGACAGTTGTCTTGAAACAAGGAATAATGTTGTTGTAACCCAGCCCGTTCCCATGCCTCCCCCAGGGTGGCAGAGAACGTGCTTCTCAGCCCATTCCCAGGCCTCCTTCTTCCCGGTAGGGTTGCCAGGAACAGACTACAGAACAACTGTAACCATTGTTACCCAAACTGTAACTATTGCTATCTGAACTGTAACCGTTGCTACTGTAACCACTACCACCCAAGCTGTAACCATTGATACCTAAACTGTAAACCCAAAGTGTAACCCTGCCAATGACACCCTGCCAATGTTCCTTGTACACAGAAAAAGGTATAAAAGACAAAAAAACCTGGACTTTGGGGCCGTTAGTATTAGGACAACGGCCCCCTGCACAGGTGTGAATAAATTACTAATTATTTACATCAGAGTGGGTCTGAGTTTATTTTTCCAGGTCTCCTAGGTTATATCAACTTGTTTTTGTTTTTTGGTTTTTTTTAATTAAATAATAGCTGTGTACATTAATGCACCACAGTGTGGTGTTTTCATATACATTTTGAAATACTCTCATCAAACTGGTTAATGTAGCCTTCATGTCATTCTCTTAGTTATTGAGACATTCATACTCTGCTTTTAGAAAGATTCATTTGTACCCTTGTAGGATAAACCATAGAAGTGACCCCTCCAATCAACCTCCCTCCACCCATCTACCCCCCTCTCCTCCCCTCTCCCCCGCCATTCTAAGGCTATAATTAGGTTATAACATTCCTATGAAAGCTATAAATCAATTTCAAAATAGGGCTGTGTACATTGGATAATTTTTCTTCCATTCTTGAGATACTTTGCTAAGAAGAACATTTTCTAGTTCCATCCATGTAAACATGAAGAAGGTAAAGTCTCCATCTTTCTTTAGGGCTGCATAATATTCCATGGTGTACATATACCACAATTTATTAGTCCATTCGTGGGTTGATGAGCACTTGGGCTTCTTCCATGACCTAGCAATTATGAATTGGGCTCCAATAAACACTCTGATACAAATATCTTTGTTGTAATATGATTTTTGGTTTTCAGGATATATACCTAATAAAAGAATTGCAGGATCAAATGGCAGGTCAATTTTTAGTTTTCTAAGTGTTCTCCAGATGTCTTTCCAAAAAGAATGAAATAATTTGCATTCCCACCAGCAGTGTAGAAGTGTTCCCTTTTCTCTGCAACCACGCCAACATCTCTGGTTTGGGAATTTTGTGATATGGGCTAATCTTACTGGAGTTAGGTGATATCTCAAAGCAGTTTTGATTTGCATTTCTCTGATGATTAAGGATGGAGAGCAGTTTTTCATATATCTGTAGGCCATGCCTCTCTTCTTTAGAGAAATTTCTTTTCAAGTACCTTGCCCACCCTGAGATGGGATCACTTGTTTTTTTCTTGCTAATACATTTGAGTTCTCTGTGGATTCTGGTTATTAAACATTTGTCAGAGACATAACCAGCAAATATCTTCTCCCATTCTGAGGGCTGTCTACCCGCTTTATTTACTGTGTTCTTGGCTGTGCAGAAGCTTTTTAGTTTAATCAGATCCCAAAAGTGTATTTTTGATATTGCTTCAATTGCCCAAGGGGTCCTTCTCATAAAATTTTCGCCCAGGTTGATTTCTTCAAGTGTTTTCCCGACACTTTCTTCTAGTATTTTTTATAGTTTTGTGTCTTAAGTTTAAATCTTTAATCCCGTGAGAATCTATCTTAGTTAATGGTGAAAGGTGTCAGTCTAGTTTCAGTCTTCTACTGGTCGCCAGCCACTTCGCCCAGCACCATTTGTTAAATAGAGAATCTTTTCCCCACTCAATGTTTTTAATTGGCTTGTCAAAGATCAGGTAATAGTAGGTAGCTGGATTCATCTCTTGGCTCTCTATTCTGTTCCATACATCTACCTCTCTGTTTTTGTGCCAGTACCATGCTGTTTTGATCACTATTGTTTTATAGTATAGTCTGAGTTCTGGTAACGTAATTCCTCCTGCTTTGTTTTTATTTCTGAGTAATGTCTTGGCTATTTGAGGTTTTTTTCTGATTCCATATAAAATGAAGTATTATTTTTTGAGATCTTTAAAGTATGGCAGTGGAGCTTTAATAGGGATTGCATTAAAATTGTATATTGCTTTGGGTAGTATGGA